CCCCCCCCCCCCCCCCCCGCCCTTCCCACGGAGACGTCAGTGTCATCTAAGCAGACCAAAGACGTGATGGAAAGCAGTCCATCTGAGGATTTAATCGGCACTCCCCTGGGGGGCGGGGGGTGGTAGGGTTGGGTGGTGAGGGGGCCAGTCGCAGAGCGAGCCGCAGTGGGACCTGGTCCAGGCCACAGATCGCTCGGAGAGCCCAGCGGGCCGATCCACCAGCCTCCGTGCGCTCGCATAGCGCTCGTAAAAGAAGCCCGCTTCGTATAACTGCTGGGGGAAAAGCCATTTAAGGGGCCCCCGGACTGGCACTCGTGTGAGGCACCCCGCATAAATCCGGCTGGGACACAGAGCTCGCACTACATTATTTCAAAAGCAGACCACTGTGTGTTTGGATGACCCTGAAAATTTGGCTCATTGCATGACAGTTAGAGAGATGAATCAAACAGTGCAAAAATGGGATTTATTTTTTTAAGGGTTGACACTACAGTTATACATCAAGTCAAAATGAAAGCTGCTAATGGAAAGCAGCATTTCTAATGCTAATCGTATGAAAATACAACTTTAACATACTTGGATTCCATGTGTATCTTCTTTTCTATTGAGAGCTTGCAAGAAGAAGAAAAAAGTGACACCTGCTGGTTATTCGCGGGGGTGCAGCGTGAAAAAAAGTAATGGGCTCATTAACTCATCATCAAGTTACAGTTGGCTCTTTACTGCACCACCCAGGAAAATAGAGAGAAAATAGAGAGGAAATGTACTCAGCATTTACAAAACGTGCTATAAGGTACAAAAAACTGCTAAGCTCCCCAAATGCCTGAAATTGCATCAGCATTTGAGAATAATGTGCTAGAATTGTCACATTCTCCAGCATAAAAAATAAGGGAGGAATGTGTTTTAATCTATGCACATGACAGTTAAAACACTGGATAAAATATCGATACTTGCATACCATCGAGTGCTAAAATTATCAGTAGCATAGAGTGCATCAGCCAGTCAGAAACCTTGTAATACCCAAACTACCATTGTTACGTATCCTTAAAGTACACCAGCACTGAACTATATTTTATATGAAGTGCTCTGTGGTAGCGCAGCCTGTGGCCGGCATATGAAAAGGCACTCAGGATGGCGAGTGCACGGCTGAGTAATACCTACTACTGGTTTCCACTCCGTTTTATGTACGGTTGCTATGAGCGCACGCTTGGGACAAATTACAGACGAAGTTGTGGGATATGAGGTTTTCGGCTCGAAAAAAAAAACACACACAAAGCCGTGTTCTTGCCTAACAGGAGAGCCATTGCGGCATTTGTGCCGAGCCTTTTGCGTTTTTGCACGAGGCTCGTTTCCATGGCGTTACCGCGTGACAGGCCTGAGGATTTGCGGTGTGGGGGGTTTGGATAATGAGGAAGAGGGGCGAGGAAGACAGTGATGATGAACTGCCGCAAATGTGAATAATGAGTGTTAAAGTGACAGGTTTGGCAACATGTCAATGATGCTGTGAGCCAAGTGAGATCCAAATCGGGCCACAGAAGGCCATGTGAGAACCTAAGACAGATTGGCGTGGCCTAAAATCTCTGCAGAAAGGCATGGACTG